CGGCGGAAGAGACAAAAGGTAAGATGCATGTAATAAAAGTGTGCTTTGGTTACCGCTGGGATCAGAAAAACGGGGTGTTAATGTTGTGTCCGGATCTCGTTTAATCACAATGTACACACAACAAGATATCACACGAGGAACACACGTACCTCAACGACCACACTAATCGTCTAGCCCCACGCGTACGATCACAGCACAGATTGCACACCACGAGCACTAGTAGCCTTCTCCCAGCTACGTAAGCAAGACCACAGTTAGTGCACAGCGAACGTGTACTCGACACATAGGAAAGTAAGTCAATTTACAAGTTTTAATCTGATGCTTATATGTGTCTCAAAATAGCNTCGATCATAAGTCACGGATCGGACGGACGGAGTGAATGTCTCCGTATGACGCGATATGATTGATTATTCTCCGCGAGATTGGTATTGATTAGAGATGCTCCGAATTGCAGATACTCGAAAAATAGTCAGTTTTAGGTAAAAATAGTCTCTTTACCTATGAGTTAGGGGATAAGGTGACGAATGATAGGTGAGAAAATCGAGGGACCAGTAGGGTTGTGACCTTTTTAAACCTGATCGTTCCGATGTTCCACTAAAACGGAAAACGCTTTTCCGGATTTCTCCATCGGAATCGGACACACTACAATGAAACTCGCGCTGGGCAAATGAAAGATTTGTTTGCATTGAAAATTGTTCAATATTAGCAAGATGTGTTGAATCAGTACTTCTAGAGAAATTCGTGACATTCCTCATCGTCCTGTGAACTATAAATCAATCAATTTTCTTCTAAACCCTATGGGACAATAAAAACAACCGTTTGCAAGCATTTCCCATACGTAAACTTCATCATATAATCACGATGACGCACTGAATCTCCGTTTTGCTGCATTGCTTATATCAGCTTATCATCTTTAATACTTTCATAGATCTAGTTCCACAAGTATCTTTGACATGCGTTGTTCATCCCCTCCCCCTCGCACACCTCGATTTGGGAGCAGAATTGAGCCACAGTTATCAAAATCCATGTTCGTTAAACCGATGGATCAGAGCACAACTTGAGTCTGTATGGCATGGTATGTTACCGTGCATAGCCGATGAATAGGACCGTGTGGTCTTGGAAACTCCAAACTGTCCTCTGAGGACCCCAGATAGCCCTCCACACAGCGGTTTCTTTTGAAATCACCAACTCCTTAGCTCATCTAGTTCATTATTTCACATTACGAGGTCGAACTGGTGAAAAACCTTACGATGATATTTCCGTCATCCCCAAATTTTGATTGCATTCCAGACAACCTTCACTTGTATGCACTTCGTACTAACATGTCTATAGTTTTCTTGTTCCGATCGCATCAGTCAGCTAGTGCCAAAGTGCATAACTGAGCACCAGCTGGTGGTGGACGATGATGAAGGTTGAACGGCTCAACAGCTGTCTAGCTGAATCAAAGAACACTCATTCGTCAAGCTGGCTACACCGATTACAAACCAAATCAATCAGCAACACAATTTAAGGGCGTTTATGGATGCCAGTCACAACAGAAGCGGTAGGGATATGGTTGTATAACCGTCATCTGAGCGCCCGAATACTGTTGAAACAGACGCTCAATCTCCCCTTATCCAAAACATCGACAAACTTTCGGGCAGTTTCGATGATTGGACGAATAAACGAACAAGCCTAACGCATTTATACAACTCGCATTCCTCGAAATGAACTGACCGTTGCGCGTCCACACATGGTAATATCGGAAATATGTTCCTCCACAGACCTTGACTTTCCACGAACTGCTCAGTGATCCGGATAAACGTCGAGACGGTTTTCCATGATGCCGGTACCACATTTATGATTGTTGTAAAACAACATTTCTCATAGTGGTTCCACCTCAAATGCGACAAGAAACTCATTATTTCAACGGTTTCCGCTAATGCCGATAACAATCTACAGCGTTCGTTTATTTATGCAGTAAAATTACTCAGGTGTTCGGGGTCACGTGCTTTGATTCCTACCCTCAACTAAATCAGAAAAATAGATTCCT